CTCGATCAGGTGGACTCTCGCGAGGCCGAAAAGAAACTACCAACAATTGCTACGAGTTTGCTGACAAATCCTGAACTCATACGTCCGAATGATAAGGCTATTCATATGGCGCATCTGTTTGAGTGCATGGTATTTGTAAGGGCGTAAGCCACCATTGTATTATTAATAATTCGTATAGTATATATATTATATATATAATATATATAATTGTGTGTGTGTGCTGTGTGTGTGTGATGGTGTTTGTTGTTGTTGTGTGTGTGTGTGTGTGTGTGTGTGTGTTGTGTGTTGTGTGTTGTGTGTGTGTGTGTGTGAGTGTGTGTTGTGTGAGGTGTTGCAATAGCCCGTGATTGCGGCGTGAATGCACAGCGTAATATAATTATACTTATATATATATAATAATATATATATACACTTTATAGATTAAGTAAATATACGCAATTTAATATATGGTATTTGCATAGTTTATGCTAATTTTTTAAAATAAATTATAAGATAAAGGTAGATAGAGCGACAGTCGGAAAGAGATAAAAAGAAGAAAGAGAGAGATTGACAAGAGGGGATAGATAATAATATCGGACAAGACAAGACGGAATTGATGCGATGATGGATGGATAGATAGACAATAGACAATAGACAGATAAATAGATATCAGTAGATAGATAGATAGACTAGATAGATAGATAGATAGATAGATAGATAGATAGATATAGTAATAGAGTAGATAAAATATGGGTAATAGATAATAGATAAATAGGCAGACAGATACTAGCTAGCTAAGCTAGCTAAGATAATAGATAGATAAGATAGATAAATTAGATAGATAGAATAGAATAGATAGATAGAATAGAATAGATGAATAGATAGATAGATAAATAGATAGATAGATAGAATAGATAATACGATAGATAGTAGATAAGATAGACAACGATAATAGATAGATAGATACGATAGAAGATAGATAGATAGATAGATAGATAATAGATAGATAGATATATAGATAGATAGAATAGATAGATTAGAATAGAAAGATACATCAGATAATAGATAGACTAATTAGATAGATAGGCTAGCTAGAATCGAGTGAGTAAAAGTGATAAGAGTGTTTTATATTCGAAATAAATGGGCGAATTACTCTATGCTGTATAGTCGCTAAATATATCGTGTACTGCAGGAGCCCACTATCTGGGTTGATCCCAGTCATGCGTACGATATGATGAGAATGCTGTAAAAAGCTCTACACGGAAAAGGAAACGCAAAAACTGTGTCATTACCCATTCACACCACCATACCTAGTCAAATTCATTCCACATAGTTGACAAGATCTACTACTTAGTGAAGCCAGGTAACTAGTTGGTACGAGAAGAAGGTAGGGATGCGCAATATTCAGCACCATTCGTAGTTATTCTTTAGTTATCAAATCTCAGCTACAAAAAAGACGACAATATCTTAAACACAACAAAATAGTTATCTAATTTTTCCAAGAAAGAGAGTTCTTAAATGTATAATCAGAAATAAAAACAGCTCGTGGGAAGTTAGCGGCTAAAAGCCCAAATTGCTCAAAATCTCACAAGCTCACGTATTTTCAATTCAGGTTTGGAATCATATTCTGTACAGGTTGCCAATTTGCGAGCGAACAAGATATCTCCGTACTTTTCCATGCTGGGGTCTTCATGTGGCACCACATACAATGGCCGCAGAACCTCGTGCGTAAGTCCACATTTTTCATCCACGCGTGTTTCCAAATCAGATATAATAAACTAATAGCAGATATATACACAAACGCAAATACAAAATCGCTATACGCAAGCGTCACAAAACCACTTGACATTTCCGAGCAATAAATTGTTGACAGGCCACACTTTCTCCATATCGGGGAAAAAATAAATTTGGCCGCCCCCACTTTTCAAAAACGTGAAAGTATTGAAGCGCACGATAAACTTCAGAGTAAAAAATTACAGATTTTACATAAGGAAATACTATTATTTTAAATAGGTGACGTGGTTTTACTCGATGAAAATTAACACCAATAAAGGAAATGTGCACAGTGTGTAGAATTGTTATAATAATTGCACATTCTAACTCCCATCGGTAAGTCAGTTTTTTCGCGCATGGTGCTTTACACTTTTGATTCGCTACGCAGGCTTCGTGTAGTTTTTAGGTTCTCATGCCATTCTAACTGTCTTTAACAGTGGCAATGTTCGCCGTCCATTCAGAAGGTCCACGCCAAAGTTAACATACGCTACATAAGCCTTAAAGTATATCTTAATCTACCCCATCACTATGAATTCTCCTTACACCTTACGTTATAACATTATAGTATTATAATGTATTAATTTGCTATTGTATTGTAATTTTATTTTATATTATTAATTACAGCATAGGCCTACCTTACACATCATTATTAATTATCACGGCTGAACTATATTCATATTAAATTAATTTTAATATAACAGAAATAAAGCACCGTTGTTAGCAGTGCAGATCCAGGGGACAGGGAGCGGGTCCCTCTCCTAGCAATAGTTCAGGGCAGGTATTAGTCTAACACCCACTGTTAGTTATCATCATCGCCGAGCTAACTATGGCCAGCCATGCCTTTTCTGCGGTGAGAACAATCACTGATTTATGACCACAACGTAGTACAGGAGGTCACCACGATGAATTCCGATATATGTCGGCAATCGAGTCGCTCGAAACAAGTTGAAGAACGAGTCTGTCATCGACTATGCTCGGACTTTTGGCAGAGACAGCCTGCCATACAAGCTAGCGATATGGCGCACCGTCGCTCCCAGGCAAAACCTGTGAAGCGCATCGCGCACTGTCGCATACCACAACTCTCGCAGTTTTAACGCATCTCTACACATGCAGCTTACGCGAGAATAATATATAATATATATATAATATATATATATATATATATATATATATATATCTATAGTGATTCCTTAAGGCCACGCACACGGTGCGATATTCGCGCGCCGCAACGGCGCTTACCAATATTCTCACCGTGTGCAGCTGGTTTACGGAGCAATGGCGCGCGCGTTTACTCAACGCAGTGGCGCGCGCGCGAATTATCACGTGTCGGGGGACCTTAAAACTATGCTATCTATATGAACCTACGAGTAGATAGGAAAGATATATATA